CCTGCTGACAACAGTAACACATTTTCAGATCACATTTATAGAATTGGTTATTTTACCAGCTAATGAACCCCACCTCTAGTACATGAATTCTAGTCAATTCAGTCAATACTTTTTACAGACTTTCTTCTTTTTACTGACCTTTGGTTAAAATCTCATCCCAGACTTCTTAGTACAATAAGTAGTGGTAACTTACTAGTGCATACTATAGGCAAAGCTAATGGAAACACAGGTTAGAAGAAATGAACTAATTATATTCATTGAGTGCCAGTTGTGTACCAGATAGTATGCCAGACTCTGCCAGTGTATTTAGTGTGGTTCTGATACATAAAACCTCATCTTACAGAGTAGGAAACTGAAGCTGTGAGGTTGAACAACTTTCCTATAGACATAGTAACTAATTAAGAGCCAGGGATTGAGACTGATCTGACTTGCTTAGTCAGTATTCCTTACCAATTTAGGGTACTGTGTTTCTCTGATGGAAACAGTCTTTTAGGAAATTTAATCTGGCTACAGATACAGGATGGGTTGTAGGGTTGAAGGTAGAAGACCGCTTAGGAGATTCTTTTACAGTAGTCCAAACAGGAAGTGATTAGGTCTGGTATACAGTGATGGCAGTCAAAATGGAAAGGAAGTTAAAAGAGTCAGACTGACCAAATGGTCACTGAAAATGGTCTCGACACATCACTTCTCAAGGAAGCCTTCCTTGATGCCTTAACTCCACTGTATTGGGTACCCACCTGAATGCTGTGATAGCATTTCTCGCAGTTGTAATTAGTAATTGGGGTTTTTTCCCTATTTTTTTAGGTTGCTCCTTGAGGGCATGATATTGCTTGTTTATGGCTATATCCCTGCTGTGTAAGCATACAGAGATCTTCAAGGTCAAAACTGTTTTCATAACACAGTAAGTCCCCTACATACTAACCTTCAAGTTGCAAACTTTCAAAGATGCGAACGTGTGTTTGCACGTCCAGTCGTGTAAGTTAGTTTACGTGTCTGGCGTACATTGTCACATGCCTGCAGCCTCTACAAGTGGTTGTGCTTTTTTGTACTTTACTGTATACAGTAGTATAGTATCTTTATTTCAAGCCCAGCACGTCCAGAAGCGCTGTAGCTGGTACTGCTAAGAAGCCCCAAGTGATAACGATGGAAACGAAAGTGAAAATAATTGAGAGGGTGGAGCGAGGCGAAAAGATGGTAGACGTTGCTCATTCTTATAACATGAATCGTTCAACCATCAGCATGATTCTAAAGAACAAGATCATGGAACATGTGAAGTCTGCTGTGCCGATGATGGCGACAATAATGTTGAAGAAGCGGGAAAAGTGACGGAGATGGAGAAACTTTTCAGTGTGTGGATGTAGGATCAGCATCAGCATCGAATCCCCATCAGCTTAATGCTGATGCAAGAAAAGCTAAAAGGCTTTATGAAGACTTGAAGAAGAAACATGGTGAAGAACCAGAGGGTGCATCTTTTAATGCCAGCCATGGCTGGTTTCATCAGTTCAAGGCTAGAGCCAACCTTCACAACGTAGAAGTAAGTGGCAAGGCAGCGAGTGCAGATATGGTAGCTGCCCGGGATAAGGAGTCCAAAGAGGTTTTTAGCAACTTAGTGACCCTCAGAGAGAAGCTGGAGCTAGATCTGCAAGAGGACCACTTCACTGAACTCCTTGCTGTGCAACACGAGGAGCTTACTAACGAAGACCTGATGGAATTGGAGGCCCAGAGAAAGGACGAAGAGAAAGAGGAGGAAGAAGGAACCGAACAGATTCACGACACAGGAAATGGCAAGGGGATTTTCTTTACTCGAGGAGGCACTGTTAGTTTTTGAGGTGCAGGATCTGAATGTAGAACAGTACATGAAGGTTGCAGCAGCCGTTCAGGATGCAATCCAGTGCTACCGTGTCATCTACGAGAAAAAAAAGAGCTACTACCCAGACATCACTGGGTTGTTTTTTCAAGAGGGTAGATAGAATTGAATCCAGCAAGGAACCAGAACCTGTGCCATCAGTGTCTGGTGTGAGTGAAACTGCAGCTTGCCCTCTGTCTCCTGTTGCTGACCATCCCTGAGTTCTACCTTCCCCCACCTCCTCTCCCTCCTCCAGTCAGTAACTCTTGCCTGTTCACTTGATGCCAGCCCTTGTATGCCAGCTGTTGTACTACTGTACTTTTTAAGGTACTGTACTGTAAGATGAAAAATATTTTATTTTTTGTGTTTGTTTTTTATATAAACCTATTATTAGTACAGTACTACATAGCCGATTGGGTACCTAGGCTAACTTTGTTGGACTTACGAACAAATTGCACTTATGAATGCCCTCTTGGAACTGAACTTGTTCGTTATGTAGGGGGCTTACTGTACTAAGACGTAACTTACCTTTTCAGCTCATTCTCACAAGTACATAGAGGCTACATGATATGTGTTGGATGACATCATCACTGATGTTAATTGAATGGTGCTGTATATTCTTGAATTTTTCATAATTTCCTAAGGTGGTAGGTTTAAGGTATGAATATCTGTGTCTTTAGAAATTCACTCTTCAGGTTATACCTCCAGAATCCCAGGAAACCTCAGTATTATGCAGTTATTATAAAATCTTGTAGTTTTCTTTGCACCTAAGCATAAACATGAATACATTCTGTTGTTATGAAGTAAGGTGATGAATATTTCACAGAGTTGTCTGACACACAGGGAGAATCAACTCCAAGAAACTATGAGAAAAACCTACTGAAGTATCTTAAAGGATAGGTTATTGTATGAGATTACATGCTTTGTAATGTGCCGTTCTTTGTTGAAAATAGTTACTTCCGTGAAAGTGCTAATGTGATATTTTTACTGTATTTTACTTTTGTTGTTTTTCTAATTATGGTAAAATATTGGTAAACAAAGCTACCCGGAGCCCTCAGTTTTTAAGAATGTGAAGCGGTCCTGAGCCAAGAAGTTTGAGAAGGCTGCTGTAGCACAGTGTATACTGTAAACAAACACTCATGCCTGTTGAGTAGCTGGATGTAGTTAAAAATGACTCCCAGCATTAAGTGTGGATTACTGGGAGGATGGGCATGCTAGGACAGGGAGCAGGTTTTAGTGGAGAAAGATAGGTTCCTGTTGAGTTTAAGTAGGACATACAGGAGAAGGGGTAACAATAGTAGGCATTTGGAAATTCAGAATTTGGGCTTGAGAAAAACTAAAACACCATTTCTCCTTTCCAGTGAAAACTGCTTTCATCATGGAATATATCACTGAACAGCTACTACCTCACAACTGATAGGCATACGTGTTAGCCTTGGGGCAAAAGTATGAGGGTGACAGAGCAGGCTTCTTGTAAACAATGATAAATATTTTCACATTGTGCACTTTTTAAAATTTGGCACAGGAGAGACCTATATATGGTGTTTCTCCTGAACTTAAAAAAAAAAAAAGTAACCAAGGTACAATAATTTGATTTTTTTGTCCTAGAAGTTTCAAACTTTCATCATATTCCCACATAACACCTCATCTGAACTTGGAAAAGGCTATGCTTAGAATAGGGATGTTCTGCTTTTCCTATGCCTAGCTCGGTAATTAATATTAAGCACTTGTGGGCATTAGTGTACTTCAGGCACTTTACAGACCTTTTAAAATACTTCCTTTTTTCAGTCTTCAGCTTACCTTTTGGTCCTTGCAGTGGAGACATGAGCCATTTGACATGTCAGAATCTAAAATTTTCTGAAGGTCTTATTACCATTTTAAAAGAAATGTTTAAACAAATGTTTCCCTCTCTAGCCAGCAGTACATTGTCTCTGGGAGATGACCATCTTCCTTTAATTTCATTAAATTTATAAAATGTCTCAATGTCTATTGTTTTTTTTTCCCCTCTAAAATGCATTGAATGTCTGCTCTATAACTTAAGTCATTCTGTTTTCAGGTTACTAAGATTACCTTCCCCATCTTTTTACATCCCCATGGTGCAGGTCCGTTTTGAAAGTTAAAAACCAAGGTCACAGAACTAGTAGGTGGCAGTGTCATATATAATTCAATCTCAGCTTTTCTGAATCCTCATGTAGCGCATTTCCTGTTCCTGTCACCAGATTACAAAACAATACTAGAGAGGAAGATGGCAAACTATTACAATGTTCACTACATACTTACATCATCTTAAATCACATCTGTTCATGCTTTTATGATGGTATTTAATAGGACTAAAGCTATGATATATTGAGCACAAATTTGATACACTTAAAAACAGCCAATATGCAAAAATACCCATTTGTTCAACAGATTAAACATCCATGCTGGTAGGTAATGTGTCAGGCAGTTGATGAACAGTAGAGAAAACATGGTCCTTGTACTTTTCCAGTCCTATGGACTGCTGACCAACACTTAGAGGTTTAAATGGTTTCTTTTGTGAGAGGTGAAAGGCTGTTTGTTCTATGTTGAACCCATAATAGTGAAACTGTGCATTCTGATGACCTTAAAAACTCCAGTCTAGGATATAAGACCCTTATAAATGTCTTCCAATTCATTCTCAAATGTGAGGTATATCAGAGAGAAACCACACAAGGACTGTTGGCTCTGCTGCTAATGTGAACTCTATCTGTTCTTTCAAAGGAAAGAAGTACTGTGTCCTTTTATTCTAAATGAGACACATCAAAAGTTAGTATGTCACCGACATGACACTGAAAATCTAAGCTGAATGCAGCCAGGAACTCCAAAGTAAGCTGAGTACAGAATGCCACATAAAACCCCAACTCTGTTGCACAGAAGCACTGTTTTTACAAGGACTTGACGTTTAGGTTATTTCATTTTCCACTGTCTTGGGAAGGACTTTCTGCTACTACAAAAGCAATTAAATATGAATAGTGACTGAGAGAATATAAAAGAACTTACACGAAGTTTTCAGTTCAAAAATACATCAGTTTGTTCTCTAGTCCTTTAGAGAAGCCAACAAAAATACTTTGACAGGTTTATGTTTGACTTTGAAAAGCATCACCACCTTTGTGTACTGAAAGAAAAATTTATTTAAATATGGCTTGTTGGTCCTATACTTCATCTACCAGTGTAATCCCTGCTGTTTACAAATAGAAATGTCTATTTAGTTCTATTAATCTGAATAACAGATGCATATTGTAATTTTTAAAGCAGATAGTAAACTTTTCTGTAGGTCTTGTGAGATTTCATCTTGTCATGGGGCAAACACTATTTTACAAAGTGTAATAATGCTTCATTTTTTAAAGTTGAGGTGAAGAACCTGGGCAACTAAATAACAAAGCTGCAGAAGCAATGAAATGTAACCTCATGATCTGATTATGCTCTCTGCCTTTCCCTTAAGCCAGGGTAGCTTTCCATCTGCTACAGTGGAAGACAGGAACTGCTATAAAGCCTGAAAATAAAATGTTCTAAACCCAAATCCCAGAGTATTTTAGTAGGCTTAGCATCTTTAAAGCATTTTAAGAGAAGTACTAATTGCCCAACTACAACAGCTCCAAAGAAAAGCTCTGCTTTCTCTTAAGACTTGTTCCATTCTATTCACACCTTTTGCTATCTAGGGTGAAGAGATTTACACCAAACTTCACTTTTATTAATACTATTTTTCTCTCAAAGCAAGTTCTTCATGCTGACATGTCCACTATCAGGAAGCACTGGTAGCGCTACTAATCTTCAGTCTTTGCATCACCAAGGAGATCTTTTTCCATCTTGTTCTGAAGGATGAACAAAAGTTTGAGGTGTACGTTTCAGAAGATAAACTGCAGCATGAAGACCCCCTATGTTGACCCAGACGGTATGTACCTTCCGCCATAGGTGTCCCATTCCAGATAATGCCTGTGTACACACAAAAAGTAGAAAAGTAATTAGCTGATAACTGCTTTTCTACCAACCAGGGGTCTTAGTAAGAAACACTGGGAGAAAACAGATCTTATTGAAATATCCCCAAGTGTACTTAAAAAGGTCCTAAAGATGTCATGGGCTGGCTGAGTTTTCAAGCTAATGTACAGCACCTTGATAAAGCATTTCTTGTCCTGGGTCAGTAGTACAGCTTGGCCTGTCCCTGGCCTACAGACACGGCTCATCTCCCGTAGGCAAGCTGGATAAAGGTTCCAGTTTCTCTTCTTGGAGCCCATCCTATAAAAGAAGGTCTAATGAGTCACTTACTTTTGCAAAAAATAAGTATCTAGGACCATAGGAAATGAGAAGTTACTAAAAACTCATTTTCATTGCAATAAGAAAGTCCTGAGGTATGAAAAATAGTTGCCTTCTAGAGCCAGAGCTTTGTCATTACATGTCAATGAAATGGTTAGATTTAGTTAAGTTGTTTAGAATTCTGAATGGGATGAACTGGTTACGGAAAAGATTTGACAACTATAATAGTTATGTTAATAGTTATGTAAGTTGTCCCCTTAATGAGTATAAGCAATCATTATGTAAATGAAACCAGTGATTAAAAAATATCCTGGTAACCAAGTTTTCCTCAACCTTTCTCTGAAGTATTAATTAATTCAACAACGGGCTACAAAGTGGATAAACCTGTGATGGTCAGGATCAAAGTGTAGTTAGTACATTCCTGAGTTCTCAGAAGAAACAAAATGGATGAATCTATCATATTGTTACATTCTTAAGTGAAAAACTGTTAAGTCTGCTAAAAGAAACTGAAGATTTCTGACAGAATAAGCTCAAGGAAAATAAAACAGATTTAGAAGACAAGTGGGTACTAATATAACAAATGAAAGTAAAATTCATTTTTTTACAAGTCCCACCTTTTTCCAAATGGCATGTCTGTTACAATAATGTCCACAGAGCCAGTTCTTAGTGGCAAGTTGCAGATATCCCACTGAATAGTATCTATGGGCAAGCCCCAGGACAGTTTGCTGTGGCGACAAAAGAAAAGGTACTTCAACATATCCTGAAGAATGAAATTTTAAAAGACTTCTGAAGAGACTGCTATAAAATACAAAAACTAAAATAATAATATCAGTGACAATATCAACAACTTAGTAAAAATTTTTAAAGTAGCAGGTAGGCAGAAAGCATAGGTCATAAGCTAAAACTTTTATAATGACAGTCCGTAAAAAAACAAGTAAATTAAAAAATTAGTTAAGATTGGTTTTCAAAAGATGTCTATATCTGTTTCATCTACAATTTATGAAGACAGATAAAGGGGAAAAGACCGTTAACACAAAGAACTGTAGTACACAACTTGAAAACAGTATTGAGGCAGTTAATTACATAACTGATGATGTAAAAACACTGTTGATGAAACATACACTGGAAAAAACCAGAACACTAAAGAGAAAAAAGTTGATGAGGTGACACATCTGAAGGATAAAGTTTGGTAAGTCTGCACAGAAATAACAGGAGACCTAAAGAAACATATGTAAAATTAGGAAATATAGAGGTACTGGTCTTAAGATTAAAAAACATGTATCATACTATAAAAAAACAAGAGAACAAAAAAGTTAACATCAAAAAAATAATGACAGAAGGCAGAATGAATATAATAATATAAATGATTTAAATCCCCCCCATTAAGGCAAAGCTACTAGTTTAAGAAACAAAATTATAACAGGCAATAATAATGCACAGGCTAAAAATTAAAAGCATATCAAGATTATGAGCAGATGGACTTCCCTGGTGGCGCAGTGGTTAAGAATCTGCCTGCCGATGCAGGGGACATGGGTTCGAGCCCTGGTCCGGGAAGATACCACGTGCCGCGGAACAACTAAGCCTGTGCGCCACAACTACTCAGCCTGTGCTCTAGAGCCTGTGAGCCACAACTTCTGAGCCCACGTGCCACAACTACTGAAGCCCGTGTGCCTAGAGCCCGTGCTCAGCAACAAGAGAAGCCACTGCAATGAGAAGCCCGAGCACCACAGCGAAGTGTAGCCCCCGCTCGCCGCAACTAGAGAAAGCCCGTGTGCAGCAGTGAAGACCCAATGCAGCCATAAATAAATAAATTAATTAAGTAATTTTTTTCAAAAAGATTATGAGCAGAAATTAAATGTTGTAATATTGATATTTAATAAAAAATTTAAGAAAAAATAAAATGCAATAGAGGTAATCACTACATAATAGGAAAAATACAGATATTAAAAATATGTATTACACTCACAAGCACCAATAGCTACAATAAAACAAAACAAAAAAGGCAAAAAATATTAGAAGTTAATGTAAGATTGGGACTTCCCTGGTGGTCTGGTGGTAAAGAATCTGCCTTCCAATGCAGGGGATGTGGCTTTGATCCCTGGTCGGGGAACTAAGATCCCACATGCTGCGGGGCACCTAAGCCCACACTGCCACAACTACTGAGCTCCTGCGCCTCAACGAGAGAGCCCACGTGCCACAAACAGCTAGAGAGAGAAAAATCTACACACCACAACTAGAGAGAGGCCCGCTCGCCACAATGAAATATCCCGCATGCCTCAATGAAGACCCTGTGTAGTGCAACTAAGACCCAATGCAGCCAAATAAATAATAAAAATAAATAAATATTTTTTTAAAAAATCAAGGTAAGATAGAAATAGTACAGGTTGACAGACAAAAAGTGAAGATGCAGAGGATATGAAAAATATAAAATATTCAGAAAATAGAAAAATTATTTGCTTAAAAATATCAGGTTTCAAAGAAACCCTAGTCATGTACTATGCCTCAGGTAAAATCTCAATAAATATAAAACAAAATATACCATAAAAATTCATTAATCATAATAAAACATAATATAAAAATAAACTAAAAGCTTTTAACTACTTATGTATAAAAAATGATCTAAACCATTGGTCCTCAAAGTTGGGACACAGACCAGCAGCATCAACATCCCTGGGAAGCTTGCCAGGAAATGCAGACCCTCAGGTCCCATCCTAAACCTACTGAATCAGAATCTGTGTGTAGTTAACAGGTTACCCAGGTGATTCATTTGAACATTAAAGTTTGAAAAGCACTGTCCTAAACAATTAGAACAGAGAGAAGTATATAACCAACCATTTACAAAGTAACCAAAACAGATTTATCAAAATCTATAGGATATGGTCAACAGGAGTACTTAGCATAAAAGTCAGCTCTAGTAAAAACCTTTATTAAAAAGAAGACATTGGGCTTCCCTAGTGGCGCAGTGGTTGAGAGTCCGCCTGCCGATGCAGGGGACACGGGTTCATGCCCCAGTCCGGGAGGATCCCACATGCTGCGGAGCGGCTGGGCCCGTGAGCCATGGCCGCCGAGCCTGCGCGTCTGGAGCCTGTGCTCCACAACGGGAAAGGCCACAACAGTGAGAGGCCTGCGTACCGCAAAAAAACCAAAAAAACAAACAAAAAAGAGAAGACATTTACAGCATATAACTTAAGATTTTAGATAACAAATGAAAAGACCTCAATAGGAAATAGGAATAAAAAACAAAAAGCATCAAGCATAAAACCATAGAACAAACAGTATATGAAAGAACAAAACAAAGCACTGGCAATCTAATCAAAAGGGGAAAAAAAAACTAGCAAAGAAAAGAGGATAAGCAATATACAGACATAAAATAATATTAAGACATACCATGTATAAATAATAAATATGAAAATTTGCATAAAATGAACAAATATTCTTAAAAACAACTGATTTCTACTTACAAATAAAAACCTCACATTAACGGTCATGGAGGCAGCTGTGAAGTCAATCATGGGATATAACGACTTCCTGTGCTCCTGGATATGAAGCACGTGTAAGACCTAACAAATCTGCTTACCACTACATATTTCTGCCACTTTATAAGAAAATGAAGGACTCCAAGCAGAGGAGACCAGAGAAACAATTTTGTGATGAGGCCTCTCGTGGGAAACTGCAGACCAAGTGCTATTTCAACCAATTCTTCCCAAAGACAGCTGAGACTCTGAAAGAATGGTGAAAGGCTGGCACAGATGGTGTGTCGTCAAATGCAATTTGTAGCAATGGGCTAGGGCTTAAGGTACTATAGTAACATACATCTCAGGATGGGAAATTTCCCAGAGGCTAACAGACTTTCAATGCACAGATATCAAAGGGATATGGCTGAAGGACCTTGGAATATTTTGCTTGGAGAAGAGAGGATGTGGAGAGCTGGGATAGAGGGAGAGGAGGGTTGGTAGCCCTTCAAATATCTGATGTTAATCATCACTGTGACACAGAGATAAGATTTTTCTTTACGGACTCAAGTGGAAGAAAAAACCCACATCTGTACAAGGTACACGGAGAGATTCAAGTTCCCTAAAAAATATGACTTAGCACTCAAAGCTGTGCTAAGCTGGAATCAACAGCCTTCAGAGTCATAAGAGGTGTTTATACAGGCTGGAAGACCACTGGTCAGGATCTCCTACAGGACATTTAGGGACTGTAGGGACAGCTTTCAGGTCTTTTCCAACTCTGAGATTTAAGTGCCAAATGACAGAGAAAAGACTAAATAAACTGTAATATTTCTGTACAGTGGAATATTATGCAGTCATTAAAAAACAGATTGAATAAAAACATAAAAAGCATTTGAAAATTTTTTAATGTTTTCAACTGTTTAATTGCATTAGAAAATATTAATATTTTAATATGTACTTGTTTTACAAGAACCTAGAAATTCTGAATTGAGAAAATGATTACAAAGTGTGTCTATGTGTCAGTCTGAGTTATGAATGAATTAGGTCCTGGGGCCCATGTGGTCTTGTAAGACTACAATCATCAAAAATGGTCCTGAAACATACTAACAAGAAGACATGAAAGCTAATACGTGTGGGATATGCAAATATTTGAATATTAGATTATTTTCCCCCCTGTATTTCTCTAATCCTTATAGCACGTAGCAGAGGACTGAGTTCCTTGTTGGTGTTCAATTAAGTTTCAGATATGAGAGTGCACCGCTGCCACTTCGGTCCTCTTCCCTGACAGCTAGGAGGACAGCTAGGGCCCCTTCTCTCACCCCCTTCACTGGGTGCCTTCTCCAAACTACATCACTTATTCAATACTAAAACATTTCCAGAGAAAAGACCACTAGTCAGGAGCAGTCTTGTGCCTCTGTTAAACCCCCAGCTGGATGCCTGCATGCACTAATGGAAAACTTATGAAATTAAAATGAATCTATACAGTTCTTCCACTACATGGGAAAAAAGATATCTGAATAAGGAAAGAAAAAGGAAGACAGAAATTAAAATAGTTGCATTAGGGTGGGGGAAATTATAGTTAAATTTAAAATATTTTAAAAATACAAATTAGTTTCAATCAACTTTTAAAATTTAAATGGAGTTTCAATATATTCATTTGGCTATAATACTGTCACAATGCACTGGGTGTATTAGTTCATAAAGCCAATAAGAAAAGTGATTATTGGACTTCCCTGGTGGTGCAGTGGTTCAGAATCCGCCTGCCAATGCAGGGGACACAAGTTTGATCCTGGTCCAGGAAGATCCCACATGCTGCGGAGCAACTAAACCTGTGCACCACAACTACTGAACCTGTGCTCTAGAGCCTGCAAGCCACAACCACTGAGCCTGTGTGCCACAGCTACTGAAGCCCAGGCGCCTAGAGCCCGTGCTCTGCAACAAGAGAAGCCACTGCAGTGAGAAGCCCGTGCACTGCAATGAAGAGTAGCCCCTGTCTGCCGCAACTAGAGAAAGCCTGTGTGCAGCAATGAAGACCCCATGCAGCCAAAAAGAAAGAAATAATTAATTTTTAAAAAAGAAAACTGATTATTTAAGTCTAAGAGATGCTACAAAATCTTTTAAATTAAGATTTTACCCTTCTTTCACTTGGCTCTTGGTCAATAAAGATGAGATGTTATTTGCTGCTCTATTCACAGCCAATGGATTATTATCACCAGCAATGTGATAACAGTTAGACCATTCTGTAGCCCCCTAAAAGACAAGAGTATATATGAAAACAGAAGTAGCAAAAAAAAAAAAAAAAAAAAAAAAAAAGATTAAAGGTAAAATCATTTCAATCACTTGTCAATAAACCAGACAATCCAATCCAATCCAATAATCCAATGTTTTTCTAAAGTGGCAAAATACTGCATGCTGTCAACTTTGCTATTCACCTTGCTTGAAATGCCCTCCTGTTCTGTTTGCTGAACTCCTACTCATCTCCCAAGGCCCAGCTCAAATGTCATGCCCTCTGTGACATCAAGCACAACTCTCCAAGCTGTCTCTCATTTGCCCCTCCAAAAGCACTCTGTACATGTATCTGCCACTGCACTTGCTCTCTTTTTAATTATTTCTATACCTGTCTGCCGCTCAAAACGTCTGGGAACTCCTTAAGGATAGGTCTGGTATGTCACTCAGTTCCTCACCCAGCAGTGTCTGCCACATAGTAGGTATTACAGACTTTAAATACAAACGTAGTTTAACCAAATCAAACTGGCTAACCTATATCCTTTTGTGATTACGGAATTTTTATATAATCCGATAACCTGGAATATTTGAGAATTTAAATAAAGTGTAATCTCTATTATATAGGCTTTTGAATGATAACCACCATATTCTTGAAAGGATTTTGTCACTTTAAAAAAAAAAAATTCTTTATTTATTTTTGGCTGTGTTGGGTCTTCGTTGCTGCACACAGGCTTTCTCTAGCTGCTGCGAGCGCAGGCTCCTCACTGAGGTGGCTTCTCTTGTTGCAGAGCATGGGCTCTAGGTGCGCGGGCTTCAGTAGTTGTGGCGCTCAGGCTCAGTAATTGTGGCTTGCGGGCTCTAGAGTGCAGGCTCAGTAGCTGTGGTGCACGGGTTTAGTTGCTCCGTGGCATGTGGGATCTTCCCGGACCAGGGCTCAAACGCATGTCCCTCAAACGCATTGGCAGGCGGATTCTAACCACTGCGCCACCAGGGAAACCCAGGATTTTGTAATTTTAAATCAAAAACATGTCAGCAGAACAGAAATACCGAGCTTTCCATATTATTTGTGCAATGGGGTGACATACTACCCTAGGCCTGAACAATGTTCTATGCAGATTAACAGAAGGTTTCTGACATGAAAGCAGAGACAGTTCTGCCCTTGGTTTAGGGATGAGTAACAAACACCTCTTCCATGGTAAACAGTAATACCCCCATATCTATGAACACAGGGCTTCTGAGCTTTTTCTTTTGCCCAGACCCTTGAGGGTAATGGAGAAGGGTGATGTAGGGAGGATGATGTAGAGTTTGATGAAAGCCTCTCTGGTGAGTCTGATTGCCCAGTATTCATTTATTCTTCTAAACCTATTTAGATTTTTGGGTTTTATAGTACTTCCAAGTTTTAAAGGCAGTATTATAAATCAAATACTTTATACTTTGGTGAACAAACTGTCTATATACCCTTTCAATTCCTTTCATAATTTCATTCATTTTGATCATATACCAACTTAGGTTTTTCCATACAGACATCCTCATGCCCACCCCTACGTGGAAATGCCTCAAACATTTTCTTTTTATCTTTTTTTTTTTTTTGGTGGGGCTGGGAGCTCTTCTAGTCTCTCTCTAGCTCTGTTGTATATTTCTTGACATGTAGTGACCTTCACTGCTATTCCAGACAATAGACACATCATGGTTTAATGCTAGAGAAGCACACTCTGCTTTGTTCCCAGAATTCTTTGTGACAACAACTGAGTTTTCTCTGTGTGGCTCTTTAGCCAGAGTAAATTTCTCTAGCTAACACTAGCAGAAAACAGCAGTCATTTAGACTACTATGATTTCCTTCTGGGATTCTAATTCCCAGATAGCCGATGTCATTTTCTAATTGCAGTCTGGATTATTTTTCCCTTTGTGGGTTGTTTTGGACTTGCTCATCTGTCCAGTTTCTGCTCAAAGAATCTATAGTATCTCCCTGCAGTTTATTCCCATTGGCTTTACGTATACTATACATAAAGCAATTTTTTACAAATTTAAATTTGTAATTTTTTACAAACTTAAGTTTAATTTAAATTTAATTAATTAATTAATTAATTTTTATTTTTTGCGGTACGCGGGCCTCTCACTGCCGTGACCTCTCCTGTAGCGGAGCATAGGTTCCAGACGCGCAGGCTCAGCAGCCATGGCTCACGGGCCCAGCCGCTCCGCGGCATGTGGGATCCTCCTGGACCGGGGCACGAACCTGTGTCCCCTGCATCGGCAGGCGAACTCTCAACCACTGCGCCACCAGGGAAGCCCTAAATTTAAATTTAATTTAAATCTTTTACAAATTTAAGCAATTTTACTGGCGCCCTCTTCCAAATTATTTATTATAAAAGTTTAGATAATATTGATTCAATAATACGGATTCAAGGAGATTCTCCTATTAAATGTTCTCCAATTAGAAAATGACTTTCTATTTCTTGCTTTGCTTTAGGCAGTTTTTGAGTCCTCTCAATGTCATGGTATTTTCTGAAACTTTGTAACCTTGCTAGACTTCCTAACGAACCTAACTAATGGTCACAGGCTTCCCCATCTTACCAGAACCTAGGAGGATGAAGAAGCATAGTCTCTCTTTATAGAGATGAAATGCCCTCCTCCAGTTCAAGCTTGTACCTTCAATTATCTTTTCTGTTTAAGTCTACCAGTTTATCTGTTACAGAAATGGGACTCACCAGTTTGTAATTCTCAGCCTCCTCTGTAATCCAGTGACTAAACATGACTTATAACCTAAATCTAGTCCTTGGCTATTTGTAATAAGTGGCTTCATCCTTATCACAAAAGTTCCAGCTTTACTAGTGTAATTCACTCAAAACTCTTGGGTCCATGGACCTAACCTTGGTGATTTCATTATGTCTAATATACCCATGAGTTCTAGAACATTCTGGATGTATCACTTCCTTATCTAAAAGCTAAAGAAGGGCTCCCCTGGTGGCGCAGTAGTTAAGAATATGCCTGCCAATGCAGGGGACCTGGGTTCAAGCCCTGGCCTGGGAAGATCCCACATGCCACGGAGCACCTAAGCCTGTGCACCACAACTACTCAGTCTGTGCTCTAGAGCCCGCAAACCACAACTACTGAGCCCACGTGCCACAACTACTGAAGCCCACATGCCTAGAGCCCATGCTCCGCAACAAGGGAAGCCACCGCGATAAGAAGCCTGCACACCGCAACAAAGAATAGCCCCCACTGGCCACAACTAGAGAAAACCTATGCACCGCAACAAAGACCCAAGGCAGACAAAAATAAAATTAAAAAAAAAATAAATAAATAAATAAATAAATAAAAGCTAAAGAAAAGTTATTACCTCAATTGATATTGCCCCTGTTCCACACATCGGATCAACTATTATATCAGTAGGCTGAGGAGCACAGAGCCTAGAGGAGAAAACAGCCTATGTGAACAGACAAGACTTCCACAACGACTATTCCTAAAGCTGTAAGATCAAAGGCCTGTTATGCTAGCATGAAGAAACAATTGATATTTATTTTTAAAATCAATTTGTAATAACATGTTGACTCTATATCCTAGCACTTACAAAAACAAAAACATTACATATAACTAAAAGTCCCCTTTGACTACCATCCAAAATCCCATTTCACTTCCAAATGGAAATAGCTTCTAGATCTGTTAATATATGTGTGTATATGCTTTTAGAAAACACATGTTATTTTGTATACAGACCTGTGTTGTTACATTTAAAACAACTCAAATGTGTGAAGTAGAACATGTATCAATATAAGTTTACTGGAAATTATTCATTCAGTATTCCTTTCCTAATTAATTCAATTTGAAAGATAACATTGCTATAAAATAACTGCTTTACTTTGAGCACTTAGTATTTGCCAGGCATGGATTTAAGCTCTTTGCATGCGTTATCTCTTTTAATCCTTTTAACAATCTTGTGAGATAGGTTACTATTATTATTCTCATTTACAGATAAGCTGATGCAAACCTGTCCATGGACACAAAGCTAGTAGGTGACAGAGTCAGGATTAGAGGCATTACTGTTAGTGGCTTAAATGTTACCTCTTCTATGAAGCATCCCCTCCTCAGACAGGTGACAAGGTTTCTTTTTCCTCCTTTTGTCCTGCTATTCTTTCCACATTCTATTATGGTTCTCCCTTACAAAACTGAGATTCCTGGGGACTAACTCTGGATTCTTATTGTAATACCTGTCCAGCTCTACTTCTCCATTCCTGCCCCTCAACACACGGCAACAGAATCCTTGGCAACCCTCTTCGTAGTAAGCAACCCTGTACTCCTAGCCACTGCTGCTGCGTCTGGGTGAACACATGACTGAAACTATGTCAACCAGATTCTCTCTTCTAACACGTGGGAACAAAGAGTTAGAAGACCTAGGCAGTATGGGGCTGGCTGGTAATTTAAAACTGGAAATACATAAATTTAGATGACGGGCAGCCATTTGCACAGATGAGCAAAACAAGAACCTGTAGGCTCCCAGGGTAGATAAAAGTGACTGTCTAGGTTTCTGGTGGTTTTCTAAGACCTGGTTCCTACCCTTCTTAAGATATGGCTTTTAGTTTTTCTGTGGATTTCCCAAGACTTCTCAGTATCTTGCCAGTAATTCCCCCTCCCACACAATCATCACTTTTTTTTAATCTTAAACTAGCTTACTTAGGTTTCTAACAGTTGCACCCAAAATAACTCTCCAAATCCCTGGCTCCCACCATAATGCCTGGCAGTAGATAATAAATGTTTGTTAAATGAATGAAGACTAGGAGCTCTTCCTTAATCAAACGGGTGCAGTTTTCTATTGTTGTCATTGAATTGACAGGTTCCAATTGTATTGAACTAGGACTCCATGGATGAGTAGGGTAAAAGAGGAAGCAAAGATTGGAGGAGTAGGAAATACAATTAACTACCAGGCTATGCCAGACACCGTATGTAACAGGTATTTTTCATCTGTTTTTGCAATTTACTCCTCACTAATAATCCTTTAAGTCTAATATCAAACCCATTTTGCAGTCTGGCAAACAGAAACCTAGAGAAAACAACTAGTCCTAGTGATGGAAAGAAACACCCAATCAAAGGGAAAAGGGCAAAGGAGAAAGAAAGTCACATCTTGCTCTTGGAAAAGTGGAAAATTTTCCATGTGAGTATAAAATTTTAAAATATAAGTAAAAGCTCTCTGTGTTCACTTATATATTATACACATTAAAAAAATCTCTGCTTTCATCTGCTTCACTGCATAGAAATGAAACAAAGCAAAATTTGTTCTATTTCCCAACACGCAGTGTATCCTTTCTAAACAGAAACGTGATAACCACATTCAAGAGGCAGATGAAAACTACTGTTCTCATTTTAAAATCAAGAAAATTGAGATAGTAATTAAGTGATATTTTCAGGATCTCAAGGAATCAACATTGGATACAAAGAAAGAGAGCTTTAGCTTTTTATCCTGTTCCTTAACTACTAGATTCTAACACAGTACCTCACAAAAAATTACATTTTGAAGGGAAAATTCAAACCAAGTTGTCACTTTCATCTACATGGCAAACCCATTCTCTTACCTGAGCATCCCATAGGCAAGAGTAGATCTAAGAGTTGTGGGTCCAAAATGTGTGATATTTCTTCGGTGGAGACTCTCTTCTGTCAATGCAATGCCCACAACAATTTCATTATCATGGATATTCAAAAGAACCTATAAAATAAGAATAAAATAGTTTTAGGGTTATTCGAACTGTACTCATCACTAAGATTTTAAAATTTGAGGCTTTATTTTGTTACTTTATTACTTAGGTATACTTTGCATACAGTAAAATGCACAAATCTTAAGTGTGCAGTGCAGTAATTTTTACATATAAATGCTGTGTAACCATCATATAAACATATATGTAGTTTTTCTTGCTCTCTGTCAATACCCACCACAAATTATCATTAATCTGACCACTACCATGATAAACTATTTTGTCTTTTTTTGAGCTTCATATAAATGAAATCATTTAAGAATATAATATTTAAAAATTTTTTAATCTATTTTATTCTCCTTTTAATTCACCGTATTCACAAGTTAGCTATAACCAGATTCCCCCCGAATTTTTATAAGAGAAACACATTTTGAAGGTTTCCAGGTTTTTAATATGCATTTTTAAAATTTTTAACTTTTTTGGAAAAAATTCCAAACATCCAGAAATGCTTACCAGAACACTGGCAAAACGAACTCTTAAGTATGCTCTTCATTTAGATTAAGCAACTGTTAACGATGGGCCACATTTGCTTTAAAACCTATTATTTTTTTAGTACTTTTTAAAACTTGACTCAAGTAATGTCTGTGAAAGAATGTTTCTTTTTGGTCTTAGTTATAGTTTTTCTAACACACAGTTAAATATATACTATTCAAACAAAAATAAAAGTTGAAATAAAATATGTTCTGCAATCTTCCACCTAAAATTTCCTCATCATGATCTTAACAGCAGCAGCTAACACTTACCTAGCTATATGCAAACCACTGTTCTACACACTTTATATTTGTTACCTCATTTCATAGCCACACCCTCTGAGCTAGGTATTATTATCCTCCTTTTATAGATAAGGAAATTAAGGCACAAAGAGGTCAGTTTACTTGGCCAAAGTTATGCAGCTAGTAAACTGGGATTTAAATCCATGTAGTATGGCTCCAGAATCTGTACTCTGAGCTCCCATGCTAACTTCTGGACATCACTGTTCTAGTTAGCCTATTCATTCTCATAACAGCTGTTACAAGAAAAAAAAGAATGGGGACTTGTTCTTCTGATTTGATATGCAAAAAACAAAGTTACAGAGAGAACAGGCAACTTGCCCCAGATTCAAGTGTCCCAAAAGCAACAATAAATGACTCCTTGGTGAAAACGTCAGCTGCTAGGGGCCTTTTAAGCTGTCAGACATGGAAAGAGTTGTTAGTATGGCTCACATGTGAATCACCCTTATAGTAGAAGATTGAGACCAAGGAGGGTAAGCATGCTAAAAAGAGGAATCTGGATTTGGGAGTCTAGCAGAACTTAAGAAAGAGGACAGTTGGCTCTAGCATAAGTATTAGCAATGATGTCCTGATTTTAGAAGGTCGAGGTTTGTTTTAAAAATGTATTCCACTTCAGAAGCAAAGTCTGAAACCAAGACACACAAAACAAAATAGTTGTTTTAATTCTTTTGAATTTTATAATCTGAAAGTCCACATAATGTTGTAAAAAGCACTAGATTAGAAATTAGAAAATTCCAGTCTTAATAGCTCCCATCTATTAAGCATGTAGTATAGACCAGGTATCACACCAGATACTTAAAATGTATAATCTCATTTAACCTTCAGGACACACAGGTATAAACTATTATTGGCTCCATTTGAAACAGAGGCTCAGAGAGAATAAACTGTCCAAAGTTACACAGTTAGGGAGTCAAAAGTTGGATCTAGCTCTGTCTCAATAGCCCATGCTCTTGTTAATGATACCCTACAGTTTTCTTCCTTTGTGACATCTTTGTCTGGTTCTGGTATCAGAGTGATGGTGGCCTCACAGAATGAGTTTGGGAGTGTTCCTCCCTCTGCTATATTTTGGAAGAGTTTGAGAACGATAGGTGTTAGCTCTTCTCTAAATGTTTGATAGAATTCGCCTGTGAAGCCATCTGGTCCTGGGCTTTTGTTTTTTGGAAGATTTTTAATCACAGTTTCAATTTCAGTGCTTGTGATTGGTCTGTTCATATTTTCTATTTCTTCCTGGTTCAGTCTTGGAAGGTTGTGCATTTTTAAGAATTTGTCCATTTCTTCCACGTTGTCCATTTTATTGACATATAGTTGCTTGTAGTAATCTCTCATGATGCTTTGTATCTCTGCAGTGTCAGTTATTACTTCACCTTTTTCATTTCTAATTCTATTGACTTGAGTCTTCTTTTTTTCTTGATGAGTCTGGCTAATGGTTTCTCAATTTTGTTCATCTTCTCAAAGAACCAGCTTTTAGTTTTATTGATCTTTGCTATAGTTTCCTTCATTTCTTTTTCATTTATTTCTGATCTATCTGATTTTTATGATTTATTTCCTTCTGCTAACTTTGGGGGTTTTTTTGTACTTCTTTCTCTAATTGCTTTAGATGTAAGGTTAGGTTGTTTATTTGAGATGTTTCTTGTTTCTTAAGGTAGGATTGTATTGCTATAGACTTCCCTCTTAGAACTGCTTTTGCTGCATCCCATAGGTTTTGAGTCGTCGCCATTGTCATTTGTTTCTAGGTATTTTTTAATTTCCTCTTTGATTTCTTCAGTGATCACTTCGTTATTAAGTAGTGTATTGTTTAGCCTCCATGTGTTTGTATTTTTTACAGTAAATAACTAGAAATAGAACTACCATACGACCCAGCAATCCCACTACTGGGCATATACCCTGAGAAAACCATAATTCAAAAAGAGTCATGTACCACAATGTTCACTGCAGCTCTATTTACAATAGCCAGGACATGGAAGCAACCTAAGTGTCCACCGACAGATGAATGGATAAAGAAGATGTGGCACATATATACAATGGACTATTACTCAGCCATAAAAATAAACGAAATTGAGTTATTTGTAGTGAGGTGGATGGACCTAGAGTCTGTCGTACAGAGTGAAGTAAGTCAGAAAGAGAAAAACAAATACTGTATGCTAACACATATATATGGAATCTAAGAAAAAAAAATGGTCATGAAGAACCTAGGGGCAAGACGGGAATAAAGACGCAGACCTACTAGAGAATGGACTTGAGGATATGGGGAGGGGGAAGGGTAAGCTGGGACAAAGTGAGAGAGTGCCATGGACATATATACACTACCAAATGTAAAATAGCTAGCTAGTGGGAAACCGCCACATAGCACAGGGAGATCAGCTCGGTGCTTTGTGACCACCTAGAGGGGTGGGGTAGGGAGGGCGACGCAAGAGGGGAGAGATATGGGGATATTTGTATAACTGATTCACTTTGTTATAAAGCAGAAACTAACACACCATTGTAAAGCAATTATACTCCAATAAAGATGTTAAAAAAAAAACTGATACCCTATTAGCTTTGTGGCCTCAGTTTAATTGTCCATAAGACTGGGTTAGTCTTGAAAATTCTACACATTTATGAGAGCCTTCTTGAATCATCACAGTAAGAGCCTGCACTTACCTCCACATCAAAGTTGGTCATGTCAGCCTTCCACTTAAAATAATCTTGAACAGCACCCCCAAAATCTCTTGCCGCCTCATTTGAGGAAAAGCAATGTTTCTCTCCTGCCCTGTTGCATGTGACTCTAAACTTCAGCATTTCAGGATCAGTTTCTTCTTTTGAGCTTTCCTCAGTCTCATCTTTGCAAGATGTCAAATCATCACCTACTAATGTTGATATCTCATCTTTGATGGCTGCATTTTCATAATAGTCTAAGATCTGTGAATCTAAGACATTGTTAGTGAACTCTTTTTTGACATCTCTCTCATCTGTTTTGTCTCCTCGTCCACTTTCAATCTTCTCTTTACTTGAATTCTGATTTATCTTTTTGTGCTTTGTTTTTTTTTTCTTGAAACATGTGTTAATTTTCCATATTTTTAAAGGGTCTGACCAGGGAAGCTTCCCAGCCAAGTCCTCAAAATCCTTTAGAACTTCTTCCTATAAAAGAGAGAATGAAATCCATTCATTTCATTCATTTCTCACCACTTTAATTGAACAAATAAACCCCTACTTTGCCTACAGACTACATTAATTGTTATGTTGGGGGTGGCAGGAGTACAGCACAAAAGAGTAAATAATATAATGTCTGCAACTGAGGAAATTAAAGTCTCACTGAAAATTATGATTTATACAAATTAAGGCTACTACAGAATAATACAAGACAGAATGGTAGATCAGAGGCTGGGATTCAAGATTAAAATGGAAGCAAATAAGGAACTATTAACAGTGGTTACCTCCAGCGAGGGGGAATGAGGAGATGAAAGACAGGGGAGGGAGGGCAGCTTACCTCTCACTGACTTCCTTTTGAATTTTGTGCTGTGTATACATATTAACTATTTTTGAAAAGAAAAAACCCAAACCTTAAGCAGTTAAAAATGTATCTATCCAATTTCTAAATAGTATCTATAGTCATCTTTTAGAAAAGTAAATCTGATCATGCTTAAAGCCCCTCAACAGCCTCCCATTACACCGCCCAAAATTTAACTTCCTTAAAAAGCCCAACTTGACTCTTGCCTGTGTCTCTTACATCACTTCAGGATCATTCTCTCCCTAGCTTCGTACCTCTGCTTGGAAGGTATTTGCTTCATATGGCCTCTCTGCATTGCTGGTTCTCTTCTAATTATTTAACAGCAATTTAAAAGGCACATCCTTTGAGAGACCTGCTCTACTTACAGTAATCCTCTCAAGTCATTCTTTTCTCATTTTATTTTCTTTAGAGAACTTAACATTATCTAAAGTTATTAGGTTTAGGCTCCTCCCAGAAGGTAAGCACAGGGGGGAAAGACCTTGGCTCTCTTGACCATTGCTATAAACCACACATCTAGAGCAGTGTCTGGTGTAAAAACGGTGCTCAGTAAACAGCTAATGGATATGTGGTAAAATGTTAAAATGGGTGGTACAGAGCCGTGCTGTCCAATTCAGCAGCCACTAGTCACATACAGCTACTGAAATATTTTAAATGATTTAAAATTAAAAATTCAGTTTCTCAGTCATATTAGCTACACTTCACATGGCTATCATGCTGGACAGCATAAACATACATTTCCATCAGACGTTCTGGTGCAGAGCACTGGCACAGACAGTATATGTTACTGAAGATCAAAGTAGAAAGAAATCAGTGCTGACTGATGGAGCTGAGACTTGAATTGGAAGTGAGTGAAGGCTCTAATACTACTTGAAACCTGATGAAATAATGGTAATTTCAGGTTGGGCAAATTCAATTTTATTTACAAATAATTTCCATATAAAGGGCATCTATAGGACTTGTAGGTTTAACATGGTGGGATAACACTGGTACAGCCCCTTTCTTTTTTCAGAAACCACTCTAAAAGAAAAGAACAACAGAAATACCAACTCTATCCTAATAGAATCTACATGATATCTGTAACCTAGAAACAGAACATAAGAATTATAACGTAAGAATTCCCAGGTTCAGTTAAGGTAAAGCAGAGGTGCAGAAAGACAACAGAGACTACAGATGACTACAGATCTCAGACAAAGGGGAGAGCAGTCTGCAGAGCAGTAGGAAATAAACTCTTCTCTGGAACAGCAGGGAAGAAGTACATGCACTGAGAGGGAGCGTCCCTGGATCTCGTTTGTACCCAGAAGCAGCAGAGGAGAGAAATGGAGGCTGAACAAGGAATCTCACAGACATGCTCTATTTGCTGGAAACAGAGTAGAGATGGGGAGAGATACTCTACATTGTGAATAACCCTAAAGCTGCTGAATGCTTCCAGCTAGGGAGAAGTAATGGTTAAAAGAACTCATTAAGTGGTATGGAAATTACACCTCAATAAAGCTATTTAAAAAAAAAGAGAACTCATTCACCACAACCTTTTGTCAAAAGGAACTTCACAGTGAACCAGAGGGATTTCTTGCTAGCTTGGAACAGTTCCTGAACCTCCTATAAACAGTAGGCCCAAGAGGAACTACCTCATTCAAAGATGAGCAATTATCAAAAGTTATCAGCACCAGACTTATATGAACAGAAAAAAGGAGAAAAGGGACAGAAAAACAAACAGCGGACAAAAACCAGTGACCAGAAAGACACTGCCACAGAGCAGCTGAAAACTGTGATCAAATATGTTGACATGACATCAAAAAATGTAATAAGGAGATAGTTTTGCAAAATAAGAGCTCAAAGCAGAGATATAAAGCAGGAAAAAGACGAGGGGAGCCGCCAGAAGGAGATGAAACAGGATCTTGTAGAGTTCAAAGAAAAAGTGGAATAAAAAAACAAACCACTGCAAAAATGAAGACCATATTGAAAGCACCACATATAAAAGCCACCGCTGAAAACACAGTAAGGGATGTGAAGAAAAGTAAAGCAAATACAATAAAAATGAGCAAAAATTTTAAAAAGGATTTGAGAGAACATGATAAAACATCAAAGACAGTCAAAGAGATCCTACTGTATGTATAATTGGTTTATCCCTGATGGAGGGATTTAAAATAAAGAAAACATACTAAAAAAATAATTCAAGAAAATTTTCAAGAAACATAAATGGAAGTGAATTTCTCTACAGACTGACATGTCTTAACTGGAATTAGCAACAAGGAGATGTACCCTGGTGAACTTCAAAATTGAAAAAAAAAATCATCTGGGCATCAAGCAAAAATAACAAGAAAGCAACAAATAAGGAGGAAAAATAACAGGATGACTTCAGAATTCTCCATGGCAACATTTCATGCTAGAAGAGAACAAACATTGTCTATGATATTCTTAAGGAAGGAAAGCTGACTCCAAATTTTAAACCCAAACTATTGATCAAACAGAAAGGTGAAAGACAAACATTTGTGAACTCATGCCAGTCAAGAGATAAAAACTGTAACAAAAGGACAGGCAGTGTGCCTATAATCAATTTAACTATAGGACTAAAATGAAAACAAATACAGGGATTATGACTGCAAAACAGAATGTAAATGTTACAAAGTGGCCTGTCCTTAGAGGGGAAAGGGAACAGAAGATGGGAAGTAATTTAAGCACACTGATATCCTCTTCTCTCATACCCCAATGTCAAAGGATAGAAATTAACGCTTAGCAGAGAAAGTGCAAAACACAGGCAGTTTGGTGCTTCCAGAATATAATCTCAGTGACTATTCATGCAGCATTAAAGCTTTTTGGGTTTCATCCAATCTTTAAAATAAATAAATAAATAAATAAAGATGATTTTTTAAAAAGTATATTTAAAGGATTTAAAGGCATGTAGTTCAACACTAAGAAAAATTATAAAACTGGAAGGTGAAAGGGAAGGAAGAGAGATGTGGGAAATATGCCAATTTCATCACTGCTCTTAGTAGGGATTCGAAAACACTGTGTAAACAGTAGATTAAGTTGTATTTATAAAGGTAACAGCTAGAGAGCAAATACAAGCTTTCCAAATATTTTAAAACACATGCACGGGGAAAAAGCAAAGAAAACATATAACATAAATTTTTAAAAAGAAAGAAAAAGAAAGCAGAAGGCGTGCAGCATAAATGTGACAGAACCAAGACCAAACATTTCTGTCATCTCAATAAACATCAATGGGATAAACTTATTAAACAGAAAAATGACCCTAAGACTGAATATGTACAAGGGTGTATATAGGATGTTCATTGCACTACTGTAGTAGCAAGACTGTGAAAAATCCTAATGTCCTAAAATGGGACCAATTAAATTGTGATACAGTCAAATCCAACAATGATATTGCCGTGATCTCCAAGATAAATGAGAAAAAGCACAGCACAGGACAGTATGTATGTCATACTTCCGTTTGTGTAAATATGTAAATAAAATACACATATTCATAAAATATCTCTAGAAGGATATCTCAGAAATTGGTAATAGTTGTTGCCTCCAAGGAGGGAAACACATGGTATGAAAACAGGGGAATAATTTTCACTGTATATCTTTTCAGTCTTTACAGTTTTGCTCTAAGTACATGTATAAACTAGCTTAAAAAAATTTTAATCACAGATTTTAGCCTTTTTTTAATCAGTTAATAAAAAGGCTAATAAAATTCATGATATCATCTGAATATTTAAAAATAAGAGAACCCAATAGAATGCTTAAACTAACAGGCTTTTATAAGCCATGAGAAAGTATAATGCAACAAAGAAAAACTGATGGTCAACAGAATGAAAACTAGAAGCCAATGTTTAAAAACAAGGTTTTATTGGGGGCATGTTCCAAATTAAGTCCACAAAGTGGAGGGCTTAACAATTTCTCATGGTTATACACAAGAGAAGTTGCCCTTGCAGAGATCTGAAAATCTACCTTAGGGCTTCCCTGGTGGCGCAGCAGTTAAGAATCCACCTGCCAATGCAGGGGACACAGGTTCATGCCCTGGTCTGGGCAGATCCCACATGCCGTGGAGCAACTAAGCCCATGTGCCACAACTTCTGAGCCCGAGTGCCACAACTACTGAAGCCCATGCGCCTAGAGCCCGTGCTCCGCAACAAGAAAAGTCACCGCAGTGAGAAGCCCGAGCACCGCAATGAAGAGTAGCCCCGCTCGCCGCAACTAGAGAAAGCCCATGTGCAACAACAAAGACCCAATGCAGCCAAAAGTAAAATAAATTAATTAATTAAAAAATAAATAAATAAAAGGTGAAATTATTTTTTAAAAAAAGAAAAAAAAGATAGAAAATCTGCCTTAATCCCTGCTGCTCTTCTTCTGGGACTTCCACCAGTAATATCTTTTGCAGTTACTTACAAGGCAACTCTGAATACCTGGCTCATATAGAACCATTCCATAATAACAAATTCACCTCCAAAAACACTCAAAATAATACAAATTCTAAGATGACAAAAACGTAGTAATTGAAGAAAATATTAATAACACCCTAGTAGGTTAGAGGCAAGAATTTAAGATGGACACTTATAGTTTTAAAAAATATGTTAACATTTATTCACGTATAGAATTGACTATCACAATTTTGAAATACTTAAGAGCAAAAACTGTTAGTACCCTGCCTGTTATTCACTAGTTTTATAGATATGATATGGTTGGCAATGCCTATCAGAAGGCTGAAGGGTTATAAAACTAGTGTTAGAAGTTACATTTTTAGTTAATAAAATTATCATCTATTTTGAGTCTCAATTCTTTTAGGTCTGTTTTCTTCTAGGTTGGGGGTTCATATCAGTTTGACTGGTTTTTGAAATCAACCTGTTGTCAATAAATAAAAAATAGAGAATTAGGCAGCACATCACAACTTTAAAAAAGATTATTTCTAATATAGGCAATAAAACTGAAAGAAAAAAGTTTTCAAGCATTTGACTCTGGAAACCAGACCAAAAAAGGCTGGAAAAATCTGGAATCTGGAAAATACCAAAGACTCACTGTGATCTATTTTCAGCGTTCAGCTTAGGCAGCGTCTCAATATTTAGGAATCAGATACTAAATACAAGTTGGGGACAAAGCTGTTATCCTAACAACTGAAGGAGTATTTAGATATTACTTTGGCTTTATTTCAAAAAACAAGCTAGAGAAGAAAGCAGGGCAAAAGGAGCATGGTGAGAGAAAGTGTTATTTGTAGATGACACAAACTGTCACCTACTCTGGTTCACAGCCTAGAAGCAATTCTATTTTGAAACCATATACATCAGCAAAGCTCATCTAAGGTGTCCATCTTTTGTAAGAAAGTCAAACAGTTTGTTCTATTTCTTATAAGTTTTTCAATATTGATTTTTATTTCTTTGTTCTGTTATTTTCATCTTTTTCGAAAATGGAATACAATTAACATATAATATTATTTTAGTCTCAGGTGTACACATAATGATTCAGTATTTGTTTACATTGCAAAATGATCACCACAAGTCTAGTTAACATCTGTCACCATACCGTTAAAATTTTTTTTTCTTGTGACGAGAACTTTTAAGACCTACTATCTTAGCAATTTGCAAATGTGCAATACAGTATTAATTACAGTCACCATACTGTACATTATAGCCCCAGGACTTACTTATAAGTGGAAATCTGTACCTGTTGACTCCCTTCATCCATTCCCCACCCCCTGCAATAATGATTTTTAAAAGCAACGTTTGCGATGGATTATCAATAAATCTCTGGATTTTACTGTAAAAGTCTCCCAGTACTCTATATTATAAAAGCAGCAGTAATGCTAAACGATACACAGAATGTGAAAAGTGGAAATAATCTCTTTGGGAAGACGGCTGAAAATCAGCTACCGCGTTTGGGACAGCTCACCTTTGTTTCTTTGAACTGGTAATCCTTAAACTCCTGAACAACCACAAATAAGTTATCAACTGATCTCAGACAGTGAACCTGGGGAGGGAAAAAAATGTTAGAAACAAATTTCTGCAAAAGCTTTTGAAGCACATAAACTATCAGCATTTAAATATAAAAATCAGGTACAAAGATTTTAAAGCAGCTAATACCTATAATTTGTATTTAAAATTTTTCCCAGCTTCTGTTCCTCTACAGAAAAGGAAAAAAGACAGATGGCAGGATAGAAGCTTTAAGTGTTATGTGGGCAACATGGGTTTGGGGGGGAAGGGAGAGATGAAGACAGTGAAGTGGGGCTTTATACTGCCCTCATGGCTCTCTGGGGTACTGTATAGGGTTTGAGCTCCAGCTCTGTGATTATTAGCTAAGCAACCCTGTGCAAATTACTTACTCCTAAGCGCAATTTTAGGAATAAAATTAATTAATCCTTAATTAATGAGGATAATGGTAGGGCCTATCTTTACAAAGCTGCTGAGTTATTATCTAAAACACTGGATGAAAAATACTTGCTTACCAATTCATCCCACAGATATGTAATGGGTGTCTACTATATGCCAGATACTAAGAGCTTGGGAGATACTGACCAAAAAAAAGAAAAAAAAAAAAAAAAACAGGCAACAATCCCTGCCCTCATGTTGCTTATGTAGTAATGAGATACAGCTTAGCTTTTACTTTAGTGGGATGGCAGTTTGCTGACCTTCACTTCTCACCTTCAGTGATTCCTAATTACTTTTGAGCAAGAATAAATTTGACACAGATACAAAGAAAAATCTCTCCCTTTATGCTTCACCACTGAAGTCTAAACTTCAGCTAGATGCTGAAGTAAATAAATTCTAAGAGGCGTAGCAGATACTAAGAATTTCTTCATAAATCTCACAGGATCCTTTCTGGTGAATTCATTCTCAGGCAATACTAGGATCACTTCTAAAACATATAGCAAACACAGTAGTCACACTTACAAATCAGTACCCAATGGAAAATGCAGTAATACTTTAAAATTACCTGATTTGGGGCAGAGCAAAGAAAAGCAATAAGGATTCCAGAGAGGTCTGTAAACTAGAAAGTAACCATAAAATGATATATTTAGAAAACTATTTTAAACATTGCTTCATTCAAACCTGAGCCAGACTTTCCACTGAAATGTCAAAATATATCTTGCCCCGGTCTTTGCTGATTTTGCACGGTGACCCCAATTTCTCTCTCACTTCATCTGCAGCTGTTTGCTCAAAACCAGTAGGGACAGTGGCTCCAATAGTGACTTGAAGATGTTCAGACTCACTTCTGAGGCCACTTTCTGTCACTTGTATAGACCTCTGGTTCTCATGAAGGTTCACATCCAGGAGCTGGTTAGTGGCTTCTTGAACATCAGACATATTGGCAGTGCTTCCAAGGTCCTGAATATAGTCCCTTTAAAAGTAGTACAGGAAAGAAAAAGAAATAATGCCTGAACGTTATCACCTCTTATTTCAACTATAACTAAAAACATCTGCTTTGGAGGTCTGGCAGAACAACGCAACGCAACTGAATCAGTATTCACCAAAGACTGAACAACATGGGTACAAAGTGGAGGATATAAAATATTATTAAACAAGCAATACAGATACTGTGGAAGAAAAGGAGACAGACAAGAGTATTTCCACAGCATGCAATGTTTGGTTTGGGATCACCTATCTTGATGATAGCCATCGCATAACTACAACAGTTAATCCCAAAACAGAAGTTGCTAGAACACATTCAAAAATATTTCTACATCTAGTCCTTTTTCAGCTAGCAGTTAAGAACATGGGGCTCTGGAATTTCAGACCTGGGTCTGAATTCTTGCCCTCACCATTCAGAGGCTGAATGACCTAAAACAAGTTTATTCTCCATCGCCTCAACTTCCTCATCCGCCAAATGGGAACTGGATAATGCCTCTCTCTTAGAGTTGTTGTAAGACTTCAGTGGGAATAGCATACTGCCAGGCCCATGATTAAAATTTGCTAATTAAGGATATCTATCTTCCTCCTTGAAATGGATAGTGATTCATGCATTTAAAAATGATTAACTGAGCACCTACTATCTAGTGACTACAAATATTTGAATGCCTAGGACAAGACAGGCTCTGGGATGCTTGGATGGGCATCAAGAGAGACCTGTTTAAACCAGTAAGCCAAATTTCCTTTATCTGAGCTTTTGGTAGGGTGGGGGGCGGCGTGGAGTAGGAGGGACTAGAGAGCTGGGTGGGAGGTGGAGATCAATAGTTCTTGGCAGATTTTCAAAGTTTTGTGAGCCAAAACAACTTAAGTAGGCCCAGGGTACCTACACAGTTCTTGTTCTGTACCCGGGACAGGCGACAGTGTCTAGCACAAATAAAAGTCAGTTCCTGCCATTAAGGAGCTCACAATCACTGTGATACGACCTCCATCTGCTAAATAAGGCAGCTGAAGCCCACGAAAGGACGTATCCTACCACGGTCAGAGAGCCAACCAATGGCGCAGGCTAGAATGAAACCCACGTCTCCCGACTCCCACCCCCATGGCCCTAATCACAGGATCCCGGGGAGCAGGTGAAACCCAGGGAAAGGTAGCGAGAAGGGCTCCACCGTGGATCGGGCTGAAGTGCAGCCAGTCTCCGGCCCGGGTCGCAAGACCAAGGCCGCCCTTCCCTGCCGAGGGTCAGCAGCGCCCCACCAGGCCACTCCTACCCGCCGCCCGGTTACCGGCCGCCAACGAATACGCTTCGAGCTCCCGGTGCCGGCGAGGCCAGCGCGCCCAGGTCACCGCGCCCAGGTCACCGCGACGGAAGTCGCCTCGGTGACCCGGAAACGGAAGTCTGGTGGCGCGGTCACAGCGGCTCCGCGCTAGGGGCGGGCGGCGGTGCGAGGTCGCAGAGGAAAGGGCGTGTGTGTAAAGGTGTGTGCGCTGTAGCGCTCAGTACGTGGTGGTTGGTTTCTGCGGTTGCGGACAGGCGCCTCAGCAAGCTGAACCGTGGAGGTCGCGGGCTTCGTCGCCAGACGTCATTGTAGCTAACTTTAGAGAGCGCTTAGCGGCGCTGGCACTGAGTAAGCGCTTCACACGCGTCATTTAATTTGTTCCAATAACTCTCAAGTGGCAGGGGCCACCCCTCTTAAAGCCGGGGAAACTGAGTCTCACAGAGGTTAAATATCTTGCCCAAAACGTCCCCCACAGCACTTTAGAGGCAGAACTGGGATTTGAACCCGAGTGCTGTGACCCCAGAATGCTTGCTCTTAGCGTCTGAGCCAGTATTGCTCAAACTAGTCCCTGAGTTGTACATTGCCTTCATTATTTTTGCCCAATTGTACTGTTGTTTACTTAACACTTCTTTAAATTTATAGTTTCGACAGGTTATTTTAGAAGGAGATTTTACAATTCAGCAACAAAAAGATAATTCAGTTAAAAATGGGCAAAGGCCATTTGGAATATTTTGAATATTTCTCCAGCGAAGACACACATATGGTCAACAGTCACATGGAAGGAGGATCAAGGTTACTAGTCATTAGAGAAATGCAAATTAAAACCGCAGTGAAATACCTATTTGAGTGGCTAAAAGTTAAAAAGTGGACAGTGCCAAGTTTCAGTAAGGGTGTGGAGCAATGGAACACTTGGGCTTTGCTGGTGGGAATGCAAAATGGTACAGCCACTGTGGAAAACCGTTTTGTCCTTTCCTCATAAAGGTAAACAATTACCATATGATCCAGCATTTCTACTGGTAGCTATATACCCAAGAGAACTGAAAACATGTTCAAACAAAAACTTTTACATGAATGTGCTTAGCAGCATTATTTATAAGAGCCAAAAAGTGGAAACAACCAGAATATCCCTCAGCTGATGAATAGGTAAACAAAAGTGGTGTATCCACACAGTGCAGTATTATTCAGTCATTAAAAAAAGGAATGAAGTGCTGAAACATGCTACAACATGGATGAACGTTGAAAACATGCAAAGTGAAAAAACCCCAACAACAACAGTCCCCAAAGACCACATATTCCATTTGTATGAAATGTCTAGAATAGGCGAATATATACAGACAGAAAGATTAGTGGTTGTTTAGGGCTAGGGGGAATGAGGAGGTTGGGGAGTGATAGCTAAAGGGTATGGGGTTTCTTTTGGGGGTGTTGAGAATGTTCTGGAAGTAGTGATGGTTGCACAACATTGTGACTATTACTAAGAAACACTGAATTGTACAGTTTAAAATATTTAAATTGGTGAAGTTTGTCTTAAAGGAAACTTTGGTCTCGTGGGAAACTCTTCTGCAGTTTCCTCACATGCAAAATGCTACTTCTCTCATGAGAGTTCTTGCAAGCTTTAAATGAGATTAACGTGTTACATAATTAAAATAAATGGTGCCATTAAAAAAAATGCAGTGGAAACAAAGTTATTAAATGCTGGCCAGATAGTGTTCCCTATAAAAGGTTCTAAATGTGAGGCCCATTCTCTTTTTAAAAGGATAAATATCAAGTATTAGAGACAAAATTGCATTAAATGAGACCTTCTTGACATAATGAGAGGGATTAAAATATTGAAAAGATTCTTTCCACTTGATTCAGTGTTATTTAATGCATACCTTTATACCATTTAAATTGTCTCTCATAAACAGGTCACACACATGGGGAAACATTACCCTAAGACAGTAACTACCTATAATGTTAGGTCTGTCGTTGAAGCAACAGAACTTTTTTTTTATATATAAATTTATTTATTTATTTAGTTATGGCTGCGTTGGGTCTTCGTTGCCGCATGCGGGCTTTCTCTAGTTGCGGCGAGCGGGGGACTGCTCTTCATTGCGGTGCGTGGGCTTCTCACTGCAGTGGCTTCTCTTGTTGCGGAGTGCGGGCTCTAGGCTCGCGGGCTTCAGTAGTTGTGGCGCACGGGCTTAGTTACTCCACGGCATGTGGGATCTTCCCAAACCAGGGCTCAAACCCGTGTCCCCTGCACTGGCAGGTGGATTCTTAACCACTGCGCCATCAGGGAAGTCTACAACAGAACTTCTTGAACATGTATTACATGTTAGACACTCTCAGGCACTAAAGATACAGCACTGAAAATTTTTTCTAGAGCTTATATGCTAATGGAAATGACAGACAATACAGAAAAATACACATATCATCCCTGTGATGATAAGTATTATGGAGAAAAACTAATGAAGAGTGCTAGAGAGATGGAGGGGAAAACCTATTTTATATCAGGTGGTCAGGAAGACCTCTTTGATAAGGTGACAAAGCAGAGCCTGAAGGAAGTGAAAAGCAAGCCATTTGGGTATCTGGGCGAAGAGCATTCCAGGCTGAGGGCAGGAACATGTTCAACAGGGTTTAGGAGTAGCCAGCCAGGAGGCCAGTGTAGACTGGGAGGAGAGAATGAGGGGGAGAGACGGAGAAGATGAGATGGGATGGGTACATCATATAGGCCAATGTTTTACAAATTGTCACCGTGACTTAGATTTTAAAAGAATCACTCTGGCTGCTGCACGGAGAACAGTAGAGTGCAGGAATGGAAGCAGTCCCCAGGCCATTTCAGTGGTCCAAGTGAGAGAGAATGATGACTCAAACTAGGATATTAGGGGTGGGTGTGGTGAGAATTGTCAGATTCTGGTGTATTTTGAGGGATGACCTGTCACTGCTGATGAATTGGATGTGGGTTTGAAAACAAGGTAAAGAACAGGAAGTTTAAGGGTCAGACCTAGCAGATTTTGCTGGTTCAAAGTGCCCATATTCTGCTGGGGGATGAGTGCTCAAGAGCTCAGGCCAAAATGCTACAGAGGAAGTAAAAATGGACATATTTGCTCTTTAGAGTTCTGGTTCTGGTTTATTGCAAAGAGTAATAAACCAGAACCAAAATAGTATTCTAGCTTACATCAGATAAACCCTGATGATCTGCTGTGAAAATATTGACTAAAGTGCATCCTTGCTTGAAAATGCCAGTTTTGAATAAGTAACACATACCTGTAGAAATTGAAGCCTCTAATTCCTTTCTAACTGGTAGTTGTATTATAGTAAACTAAAGTGACCCCTAAGTAAATAAGCAAATGATTAAATTTAATAATTCCTATCAGATACAGTGACACAAATTAGGAACTGAGTGGTAGTTGCTCCCATGAACACAGATATCTATTTTACCCTAATAGATGTCTATCCTTGCCTATTCTTAAGGGTAAAACAATATCGTGGTTAGAAAGTTAAAGAGTACAGCCACTCCCCAACCTGGTCCCTTCCTCTGCTCTTGTACGGAAGCAAGGACTGTTAACCACGTCTGCCTTTAGTTCACATGGTGATTTCCTCCATGTCGCTAAATAGCATGCTGAAGTGCTGTGTCTTGCTTTTTCAATTTTGGCATTATCTGTGAAGTCTGTTGTGGTACTTGAGATTTAGCCTATTTCCCCCTCCCTTCCCCTCCCATTAAAGTTACAGCCCAATATAGTTTGTTCCTCTATGTTAAATTTACTGGGGTAAATTTAAGCGATATATGAAACATTTTTTTGTTTTATCAGCTGTAGACAGTATCTTTTGATTCCCCATACTGTCAGGTGAGGGTTTTATCAGCACTCCTGGCCTTTCCGCTTCCCACTTTGTACATTTCTCTACTTTTCTTCCTTTTTTTAAAAAAAATTTATTTTATTTATTTATATTTTTGGCTGCGTTGGGTCTTTGTTGCTGTGCGCAGGCTTTTCTCTAGTTGCGGCGAGCAGGGGCTACTCTTCGTTGCAGTGTGCGGGCTTCTCTTGTTGCAAAGCACGGGCTCTAGGCGTGCAGACTTCAGTAGTTGTGGCTTGTGGGCTCAGTAGTTGTGGCTCGTGGGCTGTAGTAGAGTGCAGCCTCAGCAGTTGTGGCGCAGGGGCTTCATTGCTCCACGTCATGTGGGATCTTCCTGGACCAGGGCTCAAACCCATGTCCCCTGCATTGGCAGGCGGATTCTTAACCACTGCGCCACCAGGGAAGCCCCTCTCTACTTTTCTTCTTTATAGCTCCCAACCTATTTTGTTAGGATTCCACTTGCCAGGTTGGATTCCTGTGGGGATGTAATTGAAAGAAAGGATACCCCTACACCTGCTTCTCACTCAAGAAACTACTAAAATTCCATTGTCCCCAAGAAAACCTTTTGGGACCTCATTGGGAAACAAGTGATGTGTCTACAATCCTATTAATGAAATGATATGATAGACTAGGAGTCCGTGAACTCTTAACCCAACGGACCTTTGGCCTGTCAGGTGATAACAACTAGAGAGGAAAGCAATCAGCTTTGGCCATTCCCTGAACAAGCTGAGATTTGTTTACTTTTCCCAAGCCCTGTCAAGCCAAAGGCTATAAAACTGCTTTAAGTAATATAACTCCTGTGAGAACTCTCCAGTAAAATTAGTGACATCGCAGTGAATTTTCAAGAGAATGTACTTGAAATTTATCGTTCACCTTAAACTTCCTATGGATAAGCAGGTTAATTTGAAAGCAACTCATTCATCTTAAAAGGAACTGTATTTTGGCTGTAATTGAGATTGCAAGGAGGAAGAAGGTAATGAGCGGGGGAGCAAAACACCCCTGCCACCTAGTGGTCACTCATTCTGAAACACGGCAGTTCTTTGAAAGCACAGACAGCAGAAAAGGAACTGAGTTGGTACAGGAAACATCCAGCAAATGTTTGGAATTGGGGAAACTTCTGTTCCCTCTTCCCTTGTTAGAAAGGGATGTTTGTGAGCCTTTTTTAAATAGTC